GAACTAACTGCCAGGATGAACATTATGAATAAATTATACAAAGCATACTTTATTTAGTGATTCCATGTGGCGTTTGATAACTGCTTGGCAAAGCCTAGTAATATTATATCTGATCATTGAATGCAGAAGGTTCAGTTGATTAACAGAGTTGCCCAACTTCAAGGTTTCTTTACGAGGTTATTTCCAAGGCTCGCAAAGTTGTCATGATAAAAGGAATCAACAGTGAGATACATTGCAATAGCCAAGAAAAAGAAATAAACCTTGCTCTCAGCAAAGAATTCTGAATATCAGAAATATCAGTGTGTCCTCATGCACTGGATTGTCCGGAAAGTATGAAAAGTGTAATAATGGATTGATCGAGAAGCATGAGCGCTGGCACACGTTGTACAGTTTTCATAAACTGTCAGAATGTGACCAGTTTATAAAACCATGTATTTTATAGTAAACTTAACTATATTTCTTGTGATGTGCTTTAGAGAACAGTTGATGTTCCCGTTTCACTTCCTCGACCGACTTGGGAAACACGATGTGAGCTGCACGGTGTGGGGGGGCGGGCGGTCGGCGCAGGCTGGAGCCCTACGCTTGGCGATGTCTAGAGCTCTGTGCAGCTTTGCCACCGAGGAAGAGGTCGAGTGGATGCGACAAGGTATGAGCTGACGAGGGAGGGGCAAGGTTGTCCCCACACCGTGGGGAAGTGTTTGTTTGATTCTTGTGCTACTTACCTGAAATCAATGAGAAAATACTTAAAGACGCAGTATTGCAGTTTGCCAGCTTCTCTTCTCACACTCCCGACCCATAACATGATTTTTCAGTTTTGATTTCTACAAAGTGAACTTAAGTTAGAAAAAGAAATAGGAGGCCCTTCCAGTCTCAAGGGAAATTTATTTTGACCTGAAGGCATAACCTTTTGACCAACTCAATAAGTGCTGCTCAATCATTTAACAGATGAATTGGTTGTTTTTGTTTTATCATGAGAAGTTGTAATAATTATTTGATTAAATGGTGAAGCCCTTCAGGTATTTCTTTCCAGAATTATTGGAGATTCCCATTTTTCCATTGCAATGTTAGTTGGAATTTTCTGCTATGTCACCCATTTTGTGTGAACCCCGTCACCTGGTCGTGAACGCAGGCTTCTCTGCACTGTGAGAATGCACATGGCATCCATCAGTTTCTTCCTTCGGGCTCTGCTCTAGCACTTAGAGTAAATCAGGGCGCTTCTAGCTGAGGATTTTCTTCCTTCTGTTATGAAGGGAAGACAATGCTGAGGGTGCTGCTAAGCAGCCTGGGACTGGGCCAGTCACTCACTGCTTGTAGATGTGCAGCCCCTCTGCTCCCCTGCACACGCACATCCCCACCTTCCCCCTGTACCCCCCGCCCTCCCCCAACTCTCCCCAGCCACTGGGTTCTGATTCCGTGCTACAGAGAATCACTGCCTGTGACTTAGGCTAGTTAGTTTTTTAAGGCTCTTAAAACTCCATTTCCATATAAACACTTCATCATTTGGTAGGATTCATATCTGGTCAGTAAAATAATTTAATGGGCTCGTACTTAACATTCCTGCTAGTTTGAGTTACTGTGCATATTGAAAAGTCATGCAGCATTATTACTTATCATTTAGACTAGAATTTAGACAGGCCTTGGCTGGCTTTTGTTCAAAATACTGTTTTATCCTATGCCCTTTAAGTACAAGTAAATTGCGAAAGCTCTGGGTGTATAATAAGTTTCCCTTTGCTATATGGCCATTAGAAGACCCCAGTGAAATGCTTAAGCCTTGTATACAGTGCAAAGAAGTGCTTAGTGTCGGGAAAGTGAAAAAAAAACAACGAAAAACTATGGTCTGTTTACATATTTACAAAAGCAGTGTAAGATCTTTCTCCTCACTGGTATTTTTCAAATCTGTGGTCTTTGCTAACATACTACAGCTACAGCCACTACTGGGGTGCTTCCTCCGGGCCAGGTGTGGTGGGTAGTGCCTTAATTTCCGAGAAGTCATACTCTCTCCTGGTAGTTAGGGAAGTGGAAGCTTCCAGCTTAAACTGACTTTATTTTTCTAGAATAAACTGCTTATTCTGAGACTACAACCCTAAAACTTATCTTTTAGATGCCCAAACAAAATACCAGGATATTATCACACGAAATACGTTTCTTTTCTCAAATACGTTTAGTAAGTGCTATTTTATGTGCATGTGTATTCATGTGTACTGCTAATACATGGGGTCCATGTGCTTCCTCTTGTTTCTCTGTACAATACGTGTCTTCTTTGCCTTTTGTCTTCAGTAACACTTTCCCATCTAATGATGAGTCTGCCGGATAAGTTCCATCGGTGTGAATAGTGACTGTCCACCCAAGAGCAGCTTTATCTTAAGTTGAACAAGTTTAAACACCAAAAAGGAGTCAGTCCTCCTGGGATAAGGAAATAATGTAGCTGGCATTTGTCTCAGAAATTGGAAAAATATCCTAAAAGAGTAAAAGCAGACTGCTGCCAGGCTGGTACACCTTTATGGTCTGGTTGCTTTCCTCTAGAATTTTCTCTGACAACAGTACCTATAAATTCATGCGCTTTGCCGCTGCCTCTGCTGGGCAGCGTGCGTTTTCTATGGTTTGTCAAGGCTTCTCTTTTTACGTTGCAGCCGGACTTCTGACCACTGATCCGCGCGTCCGAGAACGAAAGAAGCCCGGCCAAGAGGGAGCTCGCAGGAAGTTCACCTGGAAGAAGCGCTGAGGATGTTTTCGCAGGAAAGGAGGAAAAACGCTATGTGTGTGGCTGCATGTGGAGGACACGCAGGAAATGTCCGCTGGCCACTGAGGGCAGCACTGTCAGCCATTTGAGTTGTGAGAGGATTTATTTTTAAATGCTACTTTGTAAAGATTACCTTTAAAAATAATTTTTTAAAATGTGTAGCTTCAGTCTGCTGCTTTATATTTTAAGCTTTTTCAGAAGATAATTTTCAAATCATAATAATTCATAGAATCTTGGCCTCTTAGACCTGAAGGGAACATTGAGCAAAACCCAGTCAAGTAACCTCCTTTTGCAGACAGGGAGGCCCAGCCCCAAAGATCAGGTGACCCACCAGAGCCACATTGCTAATTTAATAATAGAGTTAGGCTTCAGTTCATTTCTCCCAATTCTGTTGTCTTCCCATCTGACGATTGTTACAACCCAGGTTTTTCAACACTGGGAGATGAGAGTCCTTGTCCAGAAGAATGAAATAAGTTGAGTGTCTGTGGGCTGAGCTGCCAGGTGTCCAAATAGCTGACTAAGGCGAGCCCATTCCCCCCACCGCTCAGCCCCTGGCAACCACCGTTTTCCTCTCAGCTTCTGAGTTTGACTTCTTTGTGCGTTCTACACATAAGTGATACTATGCAATATTTGTCTTTCTCTGTCTGGCTTATTTCACATAGCATAACGCCCTCCAAGTTGGGTACAGACATTCAGTTACAAGGTGAATTACATAGTTCTGAGCATCTAATACTCAGCCTGGTGACTATGGTTGACGATACTGTGTTGTATCCTTGACATTTGCAAAGAGGTAGACCAGGGGTCGGCAAACTGCGGCTCGGAGCCACATGCAGCTCTTTGGGTACATACATGTGGCTCTGACGTAAAATTGAAAATGAAAATAAAACTATCATAGTTTCATTTATAAAATTTTTAAAGGGCATTATTCACATAATGGTGATTTCATTTGTTTTATGGCTCTCGAGTAATTTTTAAATTGTGAGGGACAGGATTGGCTCTTCCATCTCAAAAGTTTGCCGACCCCTGAGGTAGACTTTAAGTTCTCACACACACACACACAAAAAAGATAACTATGAAGTGATGGATGTGTTAATGAACTTGTTGGTGGGACTCCTTTCACAATGTATATCAAATCATCACGTTGCACACTTTAAATATATTATAATTTTGTCAATTAAACCTCAGTAAAGCTGGGGGCAAAAAATGACAAGCCAAATGAAAATAATAGCCAAGCCTGTAATCACTTACTGCCGTTGTATAAGAGACCAAACCAGAAAAAGTGCTCCCCTGCCCCAGAGCTCTCAGCAGAGGTGCCGGAGGAAGGAGACACAGAGGCTCCTGAATGAAGGGGAGAGTATAAGAGGTGCCGGTCCCTGGCTGTGGCTCCCTTCAGTCACGTCAGGTGAGGGTCGTGCCAAGAACTAAGAACACTGGAAGAGAAGTTGCTGGGAGAGGGGACAGTGACACCAGATAGAATGAAGAATTTCATTAGAATTAGAAGACAAAGGTCACAATTTCTGGAGCGATTTCTGTATTGACCTTGTGTTTCTGATGCTTGGACCTCTGGGACCTGGCTAACGGCAGGGACTGCCCCTCCCAGGGTAAGCCAATCCTAGAGATGCCGCCCAGTGTGCCTTTCTTGTGCAAACCAACCAGTGCAGCGCCCACACCCGCAACTACCTCCTGTATCTGCTCTCACACACCAGGCCACCATCTGTTTGCTCTGATCGCCCCAAGGCCAGGCACCAGACCCATCTGGACAGCCATTATGTCCCAGAGCCCGCTGAAATTATTCAAACTAGCCAGTCCTAAGCCTGCCCTACCCTGCTTTACACACCCCATCCCTCAGAAACCACAATAAAGGGTCTTGCCTGAGTTTTCCACTTCCTCCCTTTGCCTCCTGGCCACCTGGGCGCTTTCCTGTTTGCCCACCCCTACTTCCTATGACATGGCATGGCCCCGCTTCCTGGGAGCTTTGAGTAACAAATTATCTTTTGAATGGCGGCTGTCTTCTGATCTGTTGGCTTCACCAGACCTGAATAATAATAAAACCTGCATTTTAAACAAGACCCCAGCCTTTCAGGCACTGTTACTACAGTAGGAGAAATAGAGAGGTCATGGTGTGACTGCTATGTTAGTGTTGTTTGTTACTGGATTTTTACTCAACACAAACTTATTGGGGCAGCCAGTTACCTCAGGTGGTTAGAGCGCAGGCTCATAACACAAAGGTTGCCGGTTCGATTCCCACATGGACCAAGGAGCTGTGCCCTCCACAACTAGATTGAAAACAACTACTTGACTGGGAGCTGATCGGTCCTGGAAAACACACTTCCCCAGTAAAATTTCTTTAAAAAAAAAATGTTTTTACCAAGGTTATAAACATCAACCAGACAGGTTCCTTCTAGGAAATTTGTTTTAAGGACCGGACGTGTCCCCTTTATTAGTGGTAAATTCATATTGCTTTTCATTGAATCACTGCTGCTTAAGCTTTAACAAACAGTTGGGACCACTTTGGGGTCTTCTATGAAAACTGTTTGTGACTCCAAATTTATTCCTTTTTCATTTTCCCAGGACTTGATATTGCAGTCCTGAGAAAGATTGGAACCTCCCCAGGGGGCCAGCATCACAGCATGAGGCCTTTCTCTCCCCTCCAGAATGAAAGGTTAATCGCTGTAGCTTTCCAACTGTACAGCAAACTCTCCACCGAGGACACCGTCATTATTTCTGTGGAGTGTCGCCACTATTAGGGTGAATTTCTCTTTCATAATTTCAGATTATTGCTGCTTCGAAGTGAGGGGAGCAAACGGAGAGAAGGCATCTTTTCATAGTGGTGTTTAATAGATAAAGGGAGCTGAATGTTGCATGTCAGTCGGTGGCTGTATTAGATTATATTAGGACTCCTTTGATTGCAGGCTGCAAAGCCCAAAACTTGGACTACCTTTAAACTGAAAAGAGGTATTTGGGGGGATGGTAGCCGACCTACTTGAGGGAAGAGGTCACCAGCCATCCTGTAGGAAGGCAGCAACGGCTTTGGTTTCAAAGGCGAAATGCCCCCCAGAACTCTCACGCCCTCTGCCCTCTGCTTCCTTCCCGTTCATGCAGAACTGCTGCTTCTGCCTGGCCAGAAACACTCCCATCAGCTCCCACACTTAACATCTCACTCTGTCTCAGGGTTCTTCTCAGAGATGCCAGGAAATCACTCCTCAGCCTATCTTGAACTGGCTAGGATCCTGTTGGAGCAATGGTGGCTCCCACTGAAAGCAGATGTCTGACCTGAGATGCCATCCACTGTACCATCTTGGCACCTCTGCCCCAGCTGGGCTGCCACCTGCGTGCCCCTCTGTCCATGAGCTGCTTACTTTCCAGTCAGACCTGCCATAGGCCTGGCCCCACTTTCCCGCGCAGCCTGTACCTCCCCTCCGTGTCCCAGCACTAGCTCCATGCCTGTCACAGCGCTCATCACGCAGTAGTCACTGGTGTCTTCCTTCCCTCAGACTTAAGCTCAACGAAGGAAGAATGTCCTGCTCCTCTTTATGCCCCAGCACTTGGGACACAGAAAGCACAGGAATAAATATTTGCCACCTAGTTCAGGAGCTTCGTTACTGATTCCTCATGCAAATGTTCAGGTAGCTGAGAAGGTGCCCGTCTGCCGGTGCAGTCCGGATTCTATCAGTCCTACCTATTGTCTGCTGACTCCTTTGGGTCCAGCAGTAACGGGGTTACAAAAAACAGTCAACTCAGTAATTTTTTACCTCAGAGCTTAGAGTCTAATTGCAACAACACAACAAACAGAGGAAACAATCAGAAGGCAATTAAGTCCTGCTGGGAAGTGTTGACTGAGTGGGTAATGACTGAGCTGAGGGACACCTGGGCAAATGCTGGGACCTCACCTGTCAGGTTGGGCTTAGAGCTTGCAGTCTTGCTAAGGTGAGCCTCCCTGCTCTCATCTCACAGGGCTCAGGTGGGAGAGGCCTGGCACAAAGTAGGTGCTCAGGAAACCATGACACTGCCTTCACTGAGCCTTGCATTTCCGGTCTAAAAAATGGAGACAGTAGCCCGACTTTGTAGGGTTCTGTAGATTCCTTAGAGAACTTAGGTGAGGTACCTCTCCGAGTTTCTGAAACAGACAAGTCCTTGGTTAAACAGTTGTTCCCAGGGTTGACCCAAAAAGTCAAAACTGCTTCCAGGAGAAAGTGAGCCTGGACCCACAGGTAGTGTTTAGAGAGGCGTGTGACGTGGATATCCATAGCTACCTTCTTTTCAACTGCCCCACCTTCAGTTTTCCGTGGCCCTTTTCTTCCTGAGAAAAGCATCATTAGGAAAACAACTCTAACTTGGCATTTCAGTAGGTCTCTGAGTACTCGCTCTGATGATTTCTTCAATAGTAACGTGGCGTGGCTTGTTTGGAATCTGTTCTCTTTTCTAGGCATACTCCTTGCTCTTATTTCTGTTCACATTGACTTATCTCACAGACTGTGACGGGTTAGTGAGCGGTGGCCTGACACACAGTTGTTGGGGGCTTTCTCCATAGACACCTTTGCAAACAGGTTGTCCAAGATGGAGGCCATCATGCACACTGTCAGCATGTGTTTTCTTTCAAAAATGATCACGAATTTAAACTGTAGAAAAATTCTACTAATCCACGTTGGAGCAATGGAATCGATGAAAACAAAGGACTCTTGTCTTAGAAAGACATTAAACGCCAGCAGTACCGTACTGTGAACCCCAGAAGTCCATGCAGGGACTGGGGGTTCTGTGCACCACCATTCAGTTCACTACTATGATGGCACAAATTCAAAATTTTAGTCAACTTATTTAATTTCTGATTTTCTTGCTCCTACCTTTAAAATAGTTATTTGAAAAGCATAGTGGATTAATTTTGGCCTTTACACATAAGCTCCGTTATTACAGTAAGTCCTCACTTAACGTCATTGATAAGTTCTGTGACTTTAAGCGAATGATATATTAACAAACCAAATTTACCATAGGGTAATCAGTATAAACGAGTTAAGTTCAAATGCATCTCATTAATGTTATAATGAAACATTATTTGAGGACCTGCTGGATAAGCCACAGATACCATCATGTGGCATTTGTAACTGCCTGTCAGGCGTCATCTGAGGTCTCTCCCTGTACAAAGCTACCCAGTTGTCTCCCTGCACTTTTCTCCCCACCAGCCCATCGCCTGCATTTGGGATAAGAATGGAAGAATGGGTGGTTCGCTGGGCAAAGGGGCAGCTCATCAGCAATGCCTTACCCTTGTCTCCACACACTGCTTCCCAAGACTGCCTGGCTTATTGGTAGAAATCTTCCTGGGTCACACAGGGTTTGAAGAGAGAATTTGGAGACCCATAAGAAGCCCTGCAAAACTCCAAAGCAGAGGTTTGAGTTACAAACTTAACTCTCCCCACAGAATGGAACCCACTCACAGGTCACCCAAGAGTGGGAGTTGCGATGTCATACTGGGTAGGGGGGCGTGACACAATGGAGGGGTAACAAGACAGGAGTGGCTCAGGAGTAAATTGATGAGAACTTTTTCTTTCTAACACGTACATATATAGGGCTGTTGCTATTCATTTCATTATACAAGTAGTACTCGTAGTACTAAAGTCTTAGAATATGCTTGAACAATCCGCTGAAGTTCTGAGCTCAATAAGCAGAGTAACGATAACTTGCCTGTGGCTCAGTAAATCTATTTCTCTTAAATTAGAAAAATTAAAACATTTTAAC